TTTTTCTTTGGAGAGCTACCTAAGTCTTCTGCTTCCTAACATCTTCCACTTTCTTGGTGTAAATGACAAAGGGATGCTAGCTGTTTTCCACCATCTACTGTAAAAGCATATTCATGCTCAAACAATTTAAGGTCTTGCACACAAGGTTGTTTCACACAATTATCACCAGAACTGTGACTATCCCAATTGCATCCGATCTACTCCCCACCAACCTAATGATTCAGATGTGGCTTCTGGTGGAAAGTCCTGCAGCTTTTGCCCCATCCATGTGTTCAGGTGCTGCTGACAGCTATAGTTCTTTGTACAACATGGAGGTCCCAAGGAATGGGGAACCGAATCATCCTACAGCCATGAAACACTGGGAGAGCCACCCTCACTCCTCTCAGTAATATAATAAAACAATTACTACTCAAATGTACATCTCAGTGCTGAAACAGAATTTAAGCTGTAAAGGTAGAAAGACATCTCAGCATCTCAGACATCTCAGTTTTCCAGCAGCTGGTCTCACCAAGGTTGTTGACAGATGTGCATTTTGACAGTAGTCCAGAAGCCCAGCTAGAGGACATAGGAAACTGGGATTCCTTTCTTGCATTAATTAGTAGGTTTTGCCCACTGAGAAGCCCTTTTCAAATGTTTCTATTCTAATTTTTTACTGGAATATTAGAATACACCAATTACAAAATTTTTAAACAGAATAGCAATAACTGCTTTCTGAGCTCAGATGTTGTGTCGTGAGTTAGCATTATTTTTAGTTGCTATGATTGTGTGAGTAAAACTGTACAGAAGATAGATGTGGATCAGTAGGTACATCCTTTACTGTGTGGTTTTTCCATTTTCAGATTTGACACAATAATTTTCACTTTAAAGTTTATTCTTGTTGGACCTGACTTGTAGTTCGTATAAATCAGACCCACCTTGATTTCAGATCAGCTGAAGCAATGGTGTTTTTTGTAAATCAGTGCTTTTCAAAAGATGAATAGTGCTTTAAGTCTAACTATAAAACCAAATTTTAAGCAGTGGCCATTAACTTGAATTATGGAACAGAAATCAGAGAAGGATGATACTAGTCTCACAGCGATTAAGGACAGCAAGATATTAAAGGTGATAGAAAAGTTTCCATTAATTCCAACAGCATTTAGTTGTAGTCCATGATATGCATGTGAGTGGTATAAAAATTACGTAACAAATATTGTCATAAATGTTAAGCAATGCTATAAAATATTTCTTTTTATTTTGATTGTCTGAAACTTGCCTAATACAAAATTTTATAATCACATAATTTTAAGGTCAGTTTATGCAGTTCAGAAATCCTACTGAGCTATGGAGAACAGTAATACTGTGAAGATATTGTGGAGCTGTCCACAAAAGGATCGTTGAATACTTTTAGGAAAGTCATGGTGCTTAGCTACCAGAAAAAAAAAAAAAAAAAAAACGAAGAAGGAAAAAGGAAGAGAAATGAATTGTTTGTCTGCATTGCAGAGAAACATAAAACAGTTCTTCATATAGGAGCACAAGGTATGGAGATAATTCTGTGAATATATTTGTTTTGGCTTTCCATGACAGCTGAGAAGTAATACATGCCAATTTTACAACTCCTCTGTGGGAGTGTAGTTATTTTATTCTATTTCAGGAAGTGTATCTTTTTTTGCTTTAAAATAGCTTGAGACAGTACTGCATGTATTGAAATGAGTTTGAATCTGCTTCAGGCTATGCAGGAATGTGTGTGTGAGAGAATGAGTGAGAGGGGAGAGAATTTGAGCCAGTCCCTAACAAATCTCTGCTCTCTTCTGTTGTCAGAGAAGGATGCATGCAGGTGACTAAGTATCTCATGATGACTTTTGCCAATGATTTTAAACATGATATCATGCAGAAAAGTCAAGGTCAATGCTTCTCTACAGACATTTTGTGATGTCTGAATGACAATAAATTATAAGATGTGGTTATGGTTGTGGATACCCTAACATCTCTTATTTCTTCTGGCTTTCAGTTAGCCTTGTATTTTAGTAGTGATATAGATGCAGAAGCTAGAGACCAAACTGAGTAAGGGTTTTCTCTGGACAGCAGTAATCCAAGAGTCACTGTAGGAGTGGAGATGCTCATGACTAGCTGAAAAAGATCCATTCCTTTTTTCTATCAGTGCTGCACTGACCTTCTGTAGGTCACAGATTAAGCCAATAGCACTTTCAGTATATGAGAACACAAATTTATGCTCTCTCACAACCTCAACAATTTTTGAAGATAAAAAATTAGAAGGGTGGGTGAATCAGAGGCACACACACACATACACACACATACATATACATACATGCACACATATCTATATGTGTGTGTGTCTATATATGTGTGTGTATATTTATTTGGGGAGGGGAAGAGGGGGTGATTATGATGCATAAGTGTATGTCATAGAGAAGGCTTTCAGCTCCAGTATCTCCAGAGTGAGTTGAGTCAAACACAGCCCAACACCCAGTTAGTGTACAAAAATAAATGAATTTAACCATATGATTAACATTGAGCATGCCTTGTCTAAATAATTTCAAACCATATATGTCTGTTTGCTGCACTACAGCTAATGTGCTTAGTTACACGTGCATAAGGAGTTCTCAACTCCTAACGCAGCATAGGTTCACCCAGCTTTTCTCACCATGTGCGTAATCTTGGCAGGTAAGGCAAGCAGCTGGGAACAGAGAGCTTTGAAGTTATTTAGGTGTTTACGTGGCAGTTATCTGAATTGCACCTGGACACTTCGTGACAATGAACACCACTGCAAAGGGAAATGTATAAATGTCTGCTTTTCTATGAAAATATTAACTTTGCAACTGTCACATAAATGCATTCCCCTTTATTTATATGGGTTGAAGAGTTCATTTTGAAAATTAACGGAAGTCAATACACATCACAAATGTTTGTTTTCCTACTACTTTGGTTTGGGCTACACGAGAATTTGCAATGGAGTCTGACATGTCTTGTGTGAGTTCGCTGTGGAGGTGGTGAGGTAGATGGCATCATCTTATCTGGTGCTGGCGATACTGAAAGGCATTACATTCATGCTTAAAAAGGGAGAACTATGAAACCTCCCAAAGGGAAAGCATGTCATTTGCATGGGAAAAGGTTTTTCTTTAAATCTGGCATAAAAGCACTGATAAACAGAGACAAAACCACACAGGCAGTAAAAAAAAAATTATCACAGATTGAAAAGGATTTACAGCAAGTTTCCCTTATCAAAATGTCCTATACAGGCTAAAATCTATAAAGTAATTACAAGATACAAACTAATCAGCATGTCTTCTTAAGAGCATCAACCTTAGCTGGGACTCTAGAAGAGGCAGAGATGCTACCTAACATTTCCCACAGGTGTTCTCAAGGAAGAATACTTCTTCTGTGCCCAATTTCTGTAGTTTTCAGTAACTCTTTTGAATGAAATAATTTATTCTTCACTGATCCCTGCTTCACCTTTTACTGAAAAATGACCACAAAACAAACCTGTTTTGGTTTTCCTCAAAAATCGTAAAACATTGACCAAGATTTTAACTGATTGCTAATACATTAGTTTACTGGGAAAAGTGCATTTTTGTTTGAGGTTATATTACAATGATTAGTTTTATTGACTGTGACCTGATATCCACTTAGAGCCTAGTCATCATGAAACTTTTCTGTGGACACTCAATAGTGAAAACAAACAAACTGCTGCTAAAGGCAATCTGAAGTTCATTCTCAGCTAAGTACTGCTCTGGGCCAAGCTAAAATAACACCACAGCTCTAGCCAGAGCTCACAAGACTTGGTTTTCATGTTCTGCGATGGATTACTGCTAACTGCTGTTTGCTTTAGCAGTCACTCATTTCCCAGGGCAGGATAGCAGAGTCCCTTGCTCTCATGCCTCTCTTTGTTGTTGTGTGACCTCTTGTACCTTTCCCACTTCAATCTGTCTTTAAAATAGATACAGCACCTCTTCCTACTCAAGAAGGTAAAAATGATAGCAATGTGTGACTCATTGTATTGTTCCAGGGCTTCTCTCAGCTTCACTTTTGTCCATCTCCATTTGGCATTGCTCTTCTTTTTTGTCTTTCTTCCTCCCACCTCTGCCCCATCACATTTCCACCTGACTCCCACACATATGTTGTGACAACTGCGTTATCTCCAGTTTTTATTCATGTCTTTGTTTATACAGAAACATGGCTGGTTATCTCAGCACAGGGCTGAGCACTAATTGATATTTGCACAGTTCTGAGCATGTTGATGTTAGTCCTGCTGCAGAGTCCAGAGTTCAGAATGACTAAGTACTCCTGGGACTTGCTAAAGGTGAAAGCATCATGAACAGGACATTTTTTGATTTTATCAGAACCAAATTTGCTGATATGTGGAAGAACTGTATCCTGTAAGGAAGTGATCCCAGAGGGTGGGATCTGGGAATTGGACAGGATGAACTTAACATTCAGGACACCATGCAGACCAAACGTGGATACGTGTTCCTCAAACTGTTTTCTTGGCTAAACACTCAAGGTTGCCTTTACTTGCTTTACTCCTGGCAATGCAAGAACATAATACCAAACTGTCAGGTTCTATTGACTGCTGTTGAAGCGTATTTAAAAGCACAAAAGTGGGAAGTGCTATGGAGAGTTTATGTAAGTGAAAGACAAGGGAGGTACATCACCACTTTGTATCCTGGATGGAAGCAAAGCTGTTTGGCTGCACTGGTCACCTTGAAGGGATAAGGGGCATCTGTTTCTGCAGTAGGACTTCTGTATTTTATCTCTCAGGTATATCCAGCAGGCCACAAGGGGAAAATAGTGACAACAGATAAGCTGTTCTCACAGCTGCTTTGGTTAGGACATGGACTTCCACAAACACAATATAGAATCCCTGAGAATTTAAGAAAATTACCATGGATATGTTACAGCATAGTAACATTCTGGTGTTTTAAATCATCATGGCTAGGCTTCGTGAATGAATACTTACATCTCTAAATGTTAGTGCTAGTTAGTTCTGGCTGTATTACTTCTCATTTGGATGCAGAGGGTTCTCAGATAATAAATATTAGTATGGTTATGGCTGTTATAGAGATAAGGGAGCAGATGGAGGATAGGGTATTTCATAGGATGTAGGCATCTTCTTAATAATTGCAAGCTCCAGCTTATCACTTCTCCTGATTCCAGTATTATTGGTCTCGTCCTTCTGTGGGATTTGTGCATCAGTTGCAAACTACTGCAACATTTTTTTACCATAACGTGAATGGTAGTATCTGAGCATACCTGATTATGTGGTATGCTATAGTCAGCAACAAAGAGGCTCTTGTCAACACAGAGGTTTTTTGCTATTCATTAAATAATAGGAAAATTTTCATGTTCAGATTTCAACTAGTTGTACTGGGGCCAAATTTAGGAGGCCAGATAGTTCACTCTTCAAGACCACAGAACAGCAAACACTGTCATGTTATCCCATAGGGGAAATCATAGGAAAAGCAAAGGTAATGTAGAATGGATGACATCAAAAAAACAAGATTACAGAGTATCAAACGAAGTGCTTGCATCAGAGCAACATGTCAGAGGAAATGGAGCTTTAATGGAGCTCTTGTGATGAAAGCAACACATTAAACAATAGAAACTGTTTTGAGATAAAATTAATGTTCTGCTGCTTTTGTTTCCCATTTGTCAAGATGAGTGCCAGGGCTGGTGCAAGATGAATAGGCATGGCCAGCTGAACCACAGGGATCAATGGCATCTTCCAATCTGATGGCAAAATGAGCAACTGCATTGGTTTAATATTGTAAAAAATACTGTAGAGGCACACCCTAATGGTCACCACAATTGGCTGCTCCTCATGTGTTGGAACCAAATCCTCCTCAATAAAAATTTGGTTTATAACCCCCAGGGCTGTAATAGCTTGACATTTTGAAATCATATTAGCAGCTGCTGGAAGTAAAAATCTCCCTAGTCTGGTAATCTAATAAATTCTTTTAGTTAAATATAATAAATTACAGTTACTGAAATGCATGTTCCTTTACCATTAGTCTTTTAGCTTGTTTTCTTCTCATTTTAATTTGAACATTGTTAAAATGGCTTTTGTTGTTATATACTTTATTATTGCCCTGCTCCACTTATTGTAAACCATTTTCTTCAATATGTCATTGAAAAGCTTTCACTGGAAAATAGTTTCCAGGCAGTTTTCTACTTGATCAAAGCTTTCAAAACTGCAGCCACAAGAAATGTCACATTACTTTCTGGACTTTATCAACAGTACATAGCCAAAATAGATACAGATTTGTAGCAAACAAAAGAAAGCAATTGAATAAATCTTTATTTCTATATCAGTGCTTTTTGAATCAGCACTGATCTTGGTGTAAAATTAAATTAAAAAAAATACAGATAATCACAGAATCAACTAGGTTGGAAAAGACCTGAGATCATCGAGTCCAACCTGTGACCTAACACCACTCTGGGCTATGGCACTAAGTGCTACATCCAGTCTCTTCTTAAATACCTCCAGGGATGGTGACTCCACCACCCTGGGCAGTCCTTTGCAATGTCCAGTCACCCTTTCTGTGAAGAACTTCTTCCTAATGTCCAACCTAAACCTCCCGTGGTGCAGCTGAAGACTCTGTCCTCTTGTCCTATCGCTGGTTGCCTGGGAGAAGAGACTGACCCCCATCTGGCTACAACCTCCTTTCAGGTAGTTGTAGAGATTAATTTTATTAGTTGTAGGTTAATTGTAGGTAGCTGTATGTTAATTTTATTTCCATGGTGGGCAGCAGTGGTGGCAGGAACCCCTGCGGCACCTCCGGCTCCCCGGTGGGGGCCGCGCTGCCCTCAGGGCGCTTCCTGCCACCGCTCCTGCTGCTGCTGGCGCTGCCCGGTGGCACCATGTCTGCGGCCAACACCGTGCAGGGGTTGTGGCTGGAGGAGAGCACAACACCGCCCTAGGCCACGGCAGGGCTACCCATGGGCCCCTCCAGCTGACGGGACAGCGAGGCCCCGCTGCGGCTCTGCAGGCTGTTAATGCTGTCGGGGATGTTCCACGGGCTCAAGCTGGGGCTCATGACGTTCCGTCCCATGGAGCTGCGCAAAATTTACAACTGCAGGACGGGGAAGGAGAGCAGTTACTCCCGTAGGATCGCTTGCATCTGGACGAAAGGGAATTATCTTCTCTGCTCACTGCTGTTGGGGAACATGCTGATCAACATCACCCTCTCCATCCTCTTCCTCCACCTCATCGGGTCCGTCATTGGCACCATGGTGGCTTCAACCATTGGGATTCTGCTTCTTGGGGAGATCACTTCCCATGCATTGTGCTCCCAGCATGGCCTGGCTATGGGTGCAAAAACCATCATGGTGACGAAGTTCTTCATGCTGCTGATGTTACCTTTGTCCTACCCCATTGGCAAACTCCTGGATTGCCTCTTCGGCCAGGAGAAACTCATCTGGTGCAACCAGGAGAAGCTGTTCAAGATGCTGAAGGTGATGGAGCCTTAGAATGACCTGCTGAAGGAGGAGCTCAACATGATCTAGGGATCTGTGAACCAAGACAATGGAGGACATGATGATCCCGCTGCCCAACTGCTCCATGCTCGTAGACATCCTCTCCATCTAGGACCCGGTTTTTGTGGCCCCTGACAACTGCACCACCCCTCAAACCATTTAAAATAAAGTAAAATGCACTTTAAAAAGAATTAATTTAGCAAACTGAAAGACTAAACTAGGGAAAATAATTTTCAAGTGTTCATTAAGTGTTCTGTAACAGCTGTTCACTATGATTAAATATGCTTTTATATCTGCAGGCAATATTTACAGTATCTCACCTTTTTAGAATACAACTCAGAATATTAAGTCTAGGGTTTTCAAAAGAAATGTCTCTATCCTCCGAATGCTTCTTGATACTTGAAACCTCCCGGCAGGTACTGAAAGACTGCAATGAGGTCTCCCCAGAGCCTTCTCTTCTCCAACTCTCTCAGCCTGTCTTCGTAGAAGTGTTGTTTCAGACCTTTAATCATCTTTGTGGCCCTCCTCTGGGCTTGTTCCAACAGGTCCACATCTTTTCTGTGCTGGAGACCCCAGAGCTGGATGCAGCACTCCCAGTGTGGTCTCATGAGAGTGGAGTAGAGGGGCAGAATCACCTCCCTTGACCTGCCGGTCACACTTCTTGTTAATGAGCAAGTGAACTTGCTCGACTGCAAACTGGGGAGCTGCTTACTCTTCTTTCTTTGACCCCATCAGTCATGAATAGTTTGCAGCATAGTAGCTCAAGTTCAATAGAAGAACCTGAGAATTACCCCTTCTTCCTACTTTCTAACATAGTGAGGAGACCAACAGGTTGTGATGCAGCAGGTATGAGACAACCTCATACAAGCAAGATCTGTCTTCCATGCTGCCAGTGACTTCTTTAATAACACTCAGGATGTATATTAAACATGGTCTCTAATAAACACCTCTGCAGTGTTTGTATTTTAAAGGAAAATTATGAGCCCTGTTGTCAGCCTTTGAAGATACATCATAAGCATCAAAATCCAGCAGTGGTTTCAAGCCTGTACCAAAGATCGGTGCCAAGTCTCTGAGAGGAATTTAATTTCTGACACAGTGGTCTCAGCAGTATTTCCTATGGAAGAACTTCAATATTCCCATTATTCTTAGCTGACTAACACACTCTAGGGAACTTGGAAGTGTCATCCAGACTGAAGATCTCATTTCTAGGGCCAGGCAACTTCAAGTTAAGGCTGATATTGCTGAGTGTCATAATATTACTTCCCTTTTTGGGCTGTAGAATTTTATTTTGAAGTGGTAACTAGGATTTTCTCTCCTTCTGTCAACATCTTTCTGAAAGGATCTAATAAACCTGCTAAGCAGATGATGGAGTTTTGCATGTGGATTGCTGGTTTCCTCCTTTAGAACTGTCTATATGTCACTCTAATTAAAATCCTAGCAGTTTATTAAATTGCTGGAATGAAGAACCAGCAGGATTTTCAATCTTTGTACTTTGCAAGACCTTTCCCAGCTCAGAGTGCTTTCCTTCAGTATCAGTGAACCAGTAAGAAGTCATACAGATTTATCCTTTTTCCTCTGAAAGTAGTGTTGTGTTTCAGAGTGGTACTGCTGCTTGTTCACTGCAGAACATAAGCTTACAGAATCCAAAGCCTTTTTTATTAACAGCAGATGTAAAGTAGTTCTGTCCAAATGCCAGGGTTTATTTGATAACAGTGATATTTTTTATACCATATCTATGTTGAATAAATTCTCTGGCTTTTTTTATTAAATATCTAGAAGAGTTATTTGCATGCTGGACGTATACACTAATCACCTTTTTTATTTTATTTGGAAGGTGTGATTTCCTGAGAGTGAATGGTTAGTTTGACAGGTACTCTGAAATATCGGTGGAAGATATGAGCATATTTGAAATTAGACCATAAAAGAACTAATAACTAATAGGGGTTGATGAGGAAGAGGGAAGTAAAAGACTTGCATGCAAAATTATTTTTTTTATTTTCTTTGAAATGATGTATGATATTATGGGATTGGCTGCCATTCCAGAATCCGTGTGCTGTTGCAAATTAAAATGGTTTTGAAGTTGTTCAAGTCAACCATTTCATAATCATCTTCTGTGTCACAAAAAAAGCTTTTATGTGACAATAAGCTTTCTGGGATGTTATTAAATCATTTAATCCAGTTGTTTGGTGAGTTCCATGCCTTGATCACTTATAACCATGAAAGATTATGTATACATCAGAGAAACAGTTTTTTGATGAGTATGTTTATTTTGCTTGTTGAATTTGTAATGCTGGTGTTTTGCTTCTACTTTCACTTCCACTTAATCCAAGGAGTTCTTTTGAGTAATTTCTTTCCACACAGAATGCCTTTCAGGAAAATCACAGAATCATAGAATCATCTAGGTTGGAAAAGACCTCAAAGATCATCAAATCCAACCATTAATCTAACACTGTGAAGTCCACCTCTAAACCATGTCTCTCCGTGCCACATCTGCATCTGTATATCTTTTCAATACCTCCAGAGACAGTGACTTCACCTCTTCCCTGGGCAGTCTGTTCCAGTGCTTGGCAACCCTTTCTTCTTAACATCCAATCAAGACTTCCTCTGGTAGAACTTGAGGCCATTTCACGTTCTTTATAAATGCAGCATATTCACTTTCTTCCCCACAACAGATCCACAGCTTTTCTTCCCCCCGTTGCTCTTTGCCTGAATACACTTTTTCACATGCATGGCTCTGTAAGTGAAGGTGGCTTTAATGGGATTGCTCACACTCTTAAAGGTGTTCCTGGTTTTGGATATCTGCTGAACAGAGACATTATTTTCATTTGGCTTGATAGGATTTAGATTCAGGTAGTTATTTCTAACAAATTCTCTGGGCATCTTATTCACCTCTACAGGACCCAAAATTTAACACTGTGTATTGGAATGCTATTTTTATAGGACAATAAAAATGTGGCTCGGGAACCAGTCCCTTACCAAAGGCCAAGTGGCACATTGTCCCCATTGCCGAGGTCATGCTTTTTGACAGCTGGTTTACTCCAAGCAGAGCTCTTCAGAGCAGTTTGTAAACAAGCCAGATGCTGAGCCAAGTGGGCAAACCTGGGTACAGTGCTTTGACCATGCCAATTGGGCCTCATCTTTTATTTAGCAGTGTAGGGGAGCTCTTTGAGCTTCACTTAGTTGCAAGTTGTCCCTTGAGCAACGTTGAGGGTGAACTTGCCTCATTCATAGGACTGGCTCCTCCTGCTCTGATCATAAAGCAGAGGGTAGTACTGCACAGGCAAGCTTTTGGAGACCTTTGCTCACATAGATGAATGTAGGATGGCCCTGCTGAAACATGGGACTGCTAAGTGGGGAGGCATGGACACAGCATCTAACACATTTCTGGTTTCTGTGTGCTGGTTTACATACTTCAGCAAATAAAACATGGTTATATCAGCAGAGTGTATTTATCTTTGGCTTCTGTTTGGCACTTCCACTTGCAAAATTGTTACAGCTGGAGTTGTAAGCAAATGATTTCTTTATTATTCATAACAGCAGGTGCTGCAGCAGTCTTTTGGCTAGCATTGTACTCTCTTGGTCCATGGTTTCTATATATTTGATTAGATGGTGCCATGCTGTTCAGATGGGTTGCTAGTCCTCCAATAAATGTATTTTGTTACACAATCAGCTTTACAGGGCATTATCATTTCTATAAATCACTTTTAGTTGGCAGCTCTCTGTTGCCACTTGGGATTGTTCCAGCAATAATTTGCATCCTTTTTGTATGGCATTCTAAAAAGATCTTAGAAGTTAACATAGCCTGTGTATGATTTTAATAGCTAGTGTCCTTCTGGCAGCACTACAACACAGGAACCAGCTACCCATGAAGGACTGACACATTTATTTTTGATTCATGTATCATTTATGTATTCTTCAAGAAGCACTTATCCCAAGATTCATTACAGCAGTTCAGGTATCCACCTCCACCAGGCTTGTGCCAGAGTTGGGATGCTAAAAATCTCTCTCTGAAGAGTGGAGGGACAATATGATGTGCCACTCTCAGAAAGGCATCCCAAAAACCTGGCATACTGATGTGGGACCTGTCTGTCCCTTGCCAGTTGATACAGCCTGTGACTGAATTTTCCACTTCTCTATGGAAATGAGATGCTTTGCCACTAATGAAACCTGATTTGGACTCAGCCACTCATTATTTTCCCATCTAGAAGTGACCATTTCACTTGGTCTCTGCTGGCTAAAGATAGGTTAACTTCAGCTGCTGCTCAGGCAGACCTTTAAAAGGAACAAGAGGCTATTTTTGAATGAACTTGCTTAGCAGAAGGGAAAAAACCTGTAGTATAGCTGTGCTTTTCGAATTATTAAGAGAGATGCTTAATCAATTCAGTTCAGTGCTTAGAGGAATTTTCCAATATCTCAGTAAAATTCTTCACTAAATAAAAAGTAAATAAAAAACGTTTTCATAGACAGATTCCTATCAAGGCTGCAGAAGCAATATTGACTGAAGAGATAACAGAGAGCTGTGCATCTGATAGAAAGGTGCAGATGGTTGTCCATATGGGGACAAGCAGATAACAAGAACAGGGAGTGTGTCACTGCAAGGCACAGGAGTGCTGTTTCTTCAGCTGGCTGCAGACTGGGCATTTCATACCTGTGTGTTCACTCATATCTGTGGAGGAACACACAGGAGGAATCAGTTCAACCTTCTGTTTCATTAAAAAAAATAAATAGGTGCAGTTTCACCCATTATGCTAGTTTCATTTACAGGCTGCACTGCTGAGAGAGTTGATGGATCTGTGAAAGGAACATGGGTGATATGCATTTAATCACTATCAAGAACCTCCTCATTTGGCCACTGAAAGCTATTAAAGAGAAAAGTAATGGACCAAGAGGTGCATCCAAGTGTGGTGTTAATGGTACCCCTTTTATTTAGCATGGCAGACCCAAAGAAGGGAGGTGAAAAATATTAAAAAAAAACAATACAGCAGGTCAGTTTGACCACGACCCTCAGACAGAGGAACCCTCTCCCGGTCACAGATGAACAGGAAACATGACTCTACCACTCTGAGCTGTTCTAGCCACAGTGACGTGTTTCCCACCCATCAGTGGAGCTGCCCACACATCTTGCCAGCAGCCTGTCTGCTCCGTGAGCCCCACCAGCACAGTTTCAGGCATGTTCCAGTGTGCTGGACCTCATGTATCCTTGCAGCAAATACTCTTCTTGTGCCAGAGACTGCTTCTAGGCTCACTCACTGCAAGACAGGCGAACCTGGTTTGAGAATGGGTGCAAGGCTGTCTTTAGCCAGCAAAACTAGTGTGGTGGGTTCAGCTTGGCTGAACACCAGGTGCCCACCCAGCCACTCTATCCCTCCCCTTCCCAGCCGGACAGGGGAGGGAGTAAGGTGGGAAAAGAAAACAACACAAATCGTGGGTTGTGATAAGGCAGTTCATATTTATGCAAAAAAAAAATCAAAAGCAGTGTGCACGCGCACAAAGCAGAAGCCAGCAGTTAATCTCTACTTCCCATCAGCAGCAATGGTTGGCCACTTCTCTGAGAAGCAGGGCTCCAGCACGCATAACACTTGTCAGCAGGCAACCATCAGAGACAATGAGTGCCTCCGCTTTTATATCTGGGTTGATGCCATATGGTATGGAATATCCCCTTGGTCAGTGTGGGTCAGCTGCCTTCTTGTGTCACCTCCCAGGATCTCGCCCTCGATTGAACGTTACCGTGCTGTGCTCAGTAGTAGCCAAAACGGGTGTGTTATCAACACTCCTCTAGCTGCCAGTGTAGAGCTGCTATGGGGAAATAAATTCCGCCTCAGCCAGACCCACTACAACTAGCTATTCCACATGATTTTTATTGATGAGCTCTGGATTT